CCGGCGTGCGAACCGCTGGCCCGCGAGTCCCCGGCCAAAATCTTCCAGCGGATGAAAGCCGAGGCCCTGCGGCAGAACCGGGACCCGGCGCCGCCCGCGGGAAAGGCTCCACAGAGGAACTGCGGCAGCGACCTGATCCTGACGCCGACTCAGACGGAGGAGGGCCGGAGGCAAAAGGGACCTACCGCGGCAGAAGGCCAGCAGAGGCCCGCCGAGGTGCGCGGTGGGGACATCCAGCCAGGAAAAGGTTCGTCTCATTACTACTACGCAAAAGCTGTCTCCTGATTAACCTTGAGCTCGGTATGATCTCTGTATTTTGCTGATGACCTTTCCAGGGGCTGGGAGAAGCACCCAGTGCGTGTTTGTAGGTGTAGAAAATATTGGTACCAGTACTGTCTTTCAGAGAGCTGGTAAAAAAGAAAAAGCTTAGATGATGGGCTTCTTAATCCTAAAATGTGTCTGTGGTGTAGTTGATTTCGCTTCCCCTTTCTTTACTTTTGAGGAATCACTTTTGTGGTATCTCCTCCCTCCCTTAGTTTGGCTTTAACTGCTCCTTCTGTTGTGTTTGTGAATGAAAGGGGTTGACCCGTTGCAACGTCTTGAAAAACAGAGAATTACGCTCTGTAAATAAAAGAAAACAAGCAATTACTTCTGCTGCTTGTTAGACCTTACTAATGTGAAACACATCCCATCCGCAGGCACCTCCAAACTCCTGTTAATTAATGTGAGTTGGGTTACATCCAGACACACCTGAGGGTGTTTTTCCTGTGCAGCTGAGGCAGCATAACAGCTATAACCCCTTGAGGAAAAGGGAAAGGTGGCATTGCGTATCCATCTTGAGAAAGAAAACGTGTTGTATAGCGGAGTTTAGTATTTCATGAAGTATGTATGTTGTTCCCACTGCCCCTCACAAGGAAAGGTTTTGTTCCCCAAATTCAGAAATACTTTTTTGATATTGTTTTCCAGAATTACTTTGCACTCACATTCCTGAGCTTGAGATCAAGCAAGAACTACCTGTAGACCCTCTTGTACTGGAATCCCCTCAGAAATTCTTCTTGCGTGTAAAGAAGAAATTGCAGCAGCAAAAAGGTACTTTGTATTACTCTGGAAACACTTTAAAACTCCCTTCAGGGTTTCCCTTCTTGCTTATAATCTCTTGTGCACTTTGGCAGAGCATCACTCTTTCTTGGTAGTCTGGGCACAGTGAAAATGGATGAAGAAACCTGCAGATGGTATTGGGCTTGGTTTAGCTATGGTTTAGGGCTGTGGACTTCTGACCTTAAAGCTTGACATCATTAGTCCATTTGAGTCCACTGACTCTTCTGACAACAAAAGCCATCTACTGTCAGGCCCATGATGTGGTTGAGTTCTTTAGTGACTAGGTGTAATACTTTGCCATTTAAATGAGAAACTTGGTGCAAAAAATCTCAAGCTTTTTGTTTGTTGGCTCTGCAAGAAATTTTCCTGTGTTTTTTTTCCCTCCATATTGTTAGTTGATAACAGCCCTATATATGCTTCTAGCTGGTAATCCAGTTTGGAAAATGCAGATGAAGAGAATGATGCCTGTCAAAGTCTTACTGGTGTTCAAAACTGAACTTATCTGAAAACTCAAACCTGATGCTTGTGGCTCCCAGCATAGTAGCAGCAGAGTTGCAAGCCCAGATACTGGGAAGATGAAAATATTTGAGATTTGTGGAGTTTTGAAATTACTTTTTGTTCTGCCAGGAGGATTTATTAAAGAAAAGATAGTAAGAATAGTAAAGAGATACTATTAATACATATGGTGTACATTCACTTGGACGTGGGACATTCGTAAGTCTTTAACAGCAGGGGTATTGATGTGGTGAGGAAAAGGTAATTTGAACTGCTTCAGAGAAAGTCTTCAATTGACACAGGCAGTGCTTTAACAGCTGTTGTAGTGCTGATCAATACAGCATCCTCTTATTAAAAATGGAGTTAATTTATGACCATATTTATTCTCAAATATCACTAATTTCTTCCTTTTTTTTTTTTAATGGGCAGATTCAACACCTTCAAACTCAACCAAACAGAACATTCCTCCTTCCACAACTGCAGAAAAGCCATTAGTCAAATCTGCTTTTGCTGAGCATCTCAGGAGTGATTCTTCAGAGTACCTGGCCACTAATAAGGATGATCAGGATAATTTCCTTATAGAATCAGTGGATGCTGATGATGAAATGTTTCAAAATACCATGATTAGTTCTGTGAATTTAAACTCTACCCCTTTTAAAAATGGGGATGAGTTAGAAGAAAGGTGTGGAAATAGAGGAGCAAAACAAACTGAACTTCACCAAGACAGAAGAGGGCTGCAGACAAATAATAAGCAACCTGCTCATGAAGTAGAAAAGATGCTGGAGACTAACTCTCAAAAGCCATCTCAGTGCTTATGCAATATTATGTGTTCTCCTCCCAAAGTCCGCGTTCCGCAGAAGCAAAAGCCGAAAGAAGGCTCTAAAGTCCCTTTGAATAAACCTCACACAAACCAAGTTGCTGGCAAAGCAGACAAAGAGGTGGGAGAACATAACACTTCAGGGCAACTGCCTATTCCTGTGGGCCGTCTGTAGTTCAGAGTTCTGATTTATTGATTTTTTTTTTCTGTGCCAAGAATAATGAGCACTCAGACTCAGAAGACATGTATGTTATTGTATTTATTGTATTAGATCTTATTGGTGAGCACTTTCCAATCAGAAGGATTTCTTTTATCCTGTACTCTAACAGTAACAGGGGGGTGTTTGTTGTGGGTTTGGTCTCCCCCCCCGCCCCCCTTCTTTCTTGTGTAAAAGAAGCCTTTTTGTTTTAGTGTTCACAAGCCACAGTATGAGCTGAAAGAGTTCTCCACCTGAAGGAGCCTCCTACATCATCTCTTTAACATGTGAACTGCTGTGTGTTGGTGTGATGGACATGAAGCAGGTCACTGGCCAATCCAGCTCTTGGCTGTCAATGCAAAGCCAAAGAGGATAGATCTTTCCTGGCTGTAGGCTGGGGATGATTCTTAGTTAATTAAACCTGTACACCTGGTGAGGAGGTAAAAGTCTTGGCTTTCCTACAGGATATCCAAACTTCTGTTGAATTAAGCAGGACAAGAATTTTCCTAGGAGACTAGTCTGCAGATCTTATTTTCAATTCAAGACATGCTTGGCAGTATTCACATCTTGCTGAATAAATCGCAAGGAAAGCAGTGGGTTTTGAATCATGCTGCATCCCTCAGTGACTACCCTAGGAGGCTGGTGGAAGCATGCCTTCCCAAGGGCTGAGTTTCCTTTCTTCCCTGGAGAAATCTGTGGGATTGCAGTCCTATTTAAGTTAAGCAGGTTAATTGCTTCGTTCTCCCTCACCTTTGCCAAGCATGTTTGATATGTTTCCCTGTATTTTTATTTTTTCGAGGAGCTTTGATTTAGATAAGAAACTGGAACAGGCTGCCCAAAGAAGTGGCAAATGTTCCACCCCTACAAGTATGGGGGTTTTGAATGGGGCTTTGTACAACCAGGTGTAGTGGAAGGTGTCCCTACCCATGGCAAGGGGGTTGGAGCTAGATGATTGTTAAGGTCCTTTCCAACCCAGGCCGTTATATGATTTGTACCTAAGGAGATGTTGGAAGATTGGACACGATGGGTCTGAGCATCAGGAGGTGCTGCCTGCAGGGTTAGATCATTGGTAACATCTTAAGTGAGGTCAAGGCTGATGGTACAAGGGCCAGCATCATTCAAGACAAGATTGGGAGTTGATTAACCAAAGTCATGAGGAGAAATAGTGATGGTTTCGGGTGTTAAAAAAAATTCCAGGGAGCTTTTTTTGAAACAAAGGAGTATGCTTCAGAGTTTTCCAAACCAACTCGAGTGCAGCTAGCTTGCTGGCTTTTTAGTGCAATATGAAGGCTCTGCAGCTGTATGTGTGTCAGGAGTTTGCAGTATTGGATGTAGCCATTTCAATACTGTCTGGAGTTTAGCAATAATGTAACTAACAAATACAATTTCATTTTTTCATGGATAACTTTGAACAGTAATAGGGGACAGATGCCAAAGTGCAAGATGTGTGGCATAGTGCTGGTATCTTTCATGAGGAGCTTTCTGGATTTGCCAGCGGTCTTGGCTAATGAGTTTGTCTTCTGAAAGTCAAAGTTAAATTACTCAGTTTATTCAATTTAAGTTCCTGTCTTCACTTGTGCATTGGACTTCAGCTTCAACATTTAGGTGTATAACTGTTCAGTTTCTCTGGTCTGGAGGATGATGCCTAAATATCTTCTTGGGTTATGCAGGAGTTAATTTCTATTTTGCTAAAGCCTTGTGGATGTTGCATAGCTCAGTCTAATTTAACAGTGATGTAATTATTATTATTTTTTTGGAAACAGAAAAACATCTGCCTAAGCAGCTGGAGAATTAAAGTGATGGATGGTAACACTGCAATATATGTTGAAGGAAAACGGAAGTAAGAAAAGTTTTTTGATTTAAATGCAATGTAAAACATGTTGATGGGCTTTCAGCGTCTGGGCTAGAAAGGTTGTGCCACCTTGGCGTGGCTGAATAGCTGCCAGTTTGAGACTTGGATTTTTGGAGTATCTTGCTAACTGCTGGAAGCACTTCTACATGCTTTTGCTGCTTTCCCCCCAGCCACAGGGATCATAGCCCTTTGCTGCGTCTGAACCCTTGTGACAGTGCTGGCAGCTCTTACTCTATCTTATAATCATAGTTGTGTAGCTTCTGGCTAAGCACACTGAACCCGTTTGCTCAGAGCCTGCAGGATGGCAGAGCTGTGCACGGGGGATGAGTGGCTGTGCAGCTGGAGGCTGAGGAGTGCTGCGAGAAGGAGCCATGGTTGTCCTGGAGCTGCACCTTCGTGGAACTTATTCTTAGCCTTTGGTAAATACAAAGTGATGTTATCGCTTCAACTTCTTTATCAAGGAAGAGATTCATTTAATTTATGGGTGCCAGAGGTAGAGTGCCTACATTCAGGAAACTGCACGTTAAATAATTATTTCGAAGTCCAGTCCTAAGTCAATCAAAAAGCTTAAGAGGAATTAATGAGCTTGGTAGATCCCCCAAACTGGTGTTTATTGGGGGTCTTACAAGCTTCTACTTCATTTCACAAAAATTGTGTTTTGTGGCTGCTTTAAGTCAAATTTGGTGCAGACTGCCATCAGCCAGGTGTCCCTGCCATATTGTTTGTGGTGGTACCATTACTCCTACAGCAGTGCCTGATTCATCTGAAAACTGACTCTCTGGGGGTTTTGTTTATGGTTTTGGTCAGATTGTATTCAAACAGCTGGAAAACAAGTGTCAGAACAACGGATTTAGCTTGCAATGAAGTTGTCTGAAGACACTGTGAAAATAAACCTTAAGGAAAGAGTTTTCTACTCTTTCTGTAGTTAGTAACTATCTAACACTTATCTACTGAAAATTCAGAACCTCTCTTGACAGCAGTAGCACTGTGGAAGGAAGCAATTCTGTGAGCTTACTGAGGATATTGGGAGCTGCATGCCCTATGGTAGGGTTTGCAGTAGGAACTGACATTTTTTCACAGCTGTATGAAAACAATGGATCCTCTTATTTTGCATGCTTGACTGCTAGCAACATGTTCTCTTTTCATCCGTGTTGGTGTGTATCCAATGCATGTTGCTTACACATATTTCATTTACTTACTTCACAGACTCCCTGAATTGACTTGTGACACATTATACAACTGAATGTTTTCACTGTCATCTTGGGTTTCAGTGTTTAATATTGTTCTATAGTTTGATCTGTTGGTTACTGTTGTAAAAGTATGTTTAAAAATACCCCTAAAAATACCTCAAACCCCCAAAATGTGTATTTTTCTACTTTATGTTTGGGTCTGCTTTTTATTTCTCATGGAGAAGTCCCTTAATAGTTTCTAAATAGCTCTTATTTTTGTACGTATTAGGGCTCCTTCTTCAGCTGTTCTTGTCTTTAAATAGGAAGGTCAGAAATAAATACAGTATTCCTGGGGAAAATACACATTTGGCCTGTTTTGTAACTGGCATAATGGTATTACTGCAACACTGAGCTGGATGGAGGGAGCCCTTTAGTCTATTCTGCTTCTGCAGGCTAACGCTAAGCCCATGTTCTGTGACTAACATTTGCACTAGTGGACATGTTTGTACTGTCTCCTGTCTAAGTATTAGACAAGGCCAGAAGTGTTTCTCTTCTAAGCTAACAAAAGAAAACCCAGCACAGTGTCTGTATTGCTCATAACGTATGTTTCACTGCCAGTCTTACATGGAATATCAAGTCTAGTTTAAAGTTCTTTCTTCTATAAAAATGTTTTATTTCCGTTCTTCATATTATCTGTCTTTTCTTAGAGATATGAAAGATGTGGTTTGGCATAGTAATGCTGTTATGGAACGTGTAGCACACAAACAAGTTAAAACATCAACGGGCAGTATCTACTTGCTACAGGGGAAAATTGATTCAGCTTTGATGAGAAAAGAAGGTAAAAAGATGATTCTTAATGTAACATTACAAACTGAGAAGGGCTTTAGATTTATGACTGAACGTTTATGACTGCAGCGATTGCTTTGTCTTACCCTGCTAATTGGGCTCAGTGGGTATTCAGCACATGCTGGGAAGCGACTCCAGCAACAGCGTTCTGAATGCTATGTATTGTTAATGGCAGCTGGTGTTTTTAGGGTGCTGCCATTAGAGAGGGCTCTCGGGGCATGAAGTTGGCTGATAGGTACATTCTTCTAAAGAAGCTAAGATTGACTTTATGTAATTTTAGTTAGTATTTTGGCATTTAAATAGCACTTAGACATTCAAGTAGGGATTGTTTATACAGTATATACTATTATTATACTAAAAAATTATTACTATACTAAAAATCCCTACTATATAGAGATTATTTATACACATTATGCAAAATGGTGTTTGCATTCTATCTGTGACTTACTAGTCAGGAAATAATGACTAGTTCTGCAATGATACATGGTATTTCTGTTTGCAGACAGTTCTGATGCTAGTGCTTTATAATTTAGTAAACTGATTGATCTTTAGGGTGTAAGTGGTATGTTACACCAAATTGTTTTGAAACGTGGAATTTTAAAGGGAACTTAATCTATAAATGAAGTTAAAGTCAGGCTAGGCTTTATTTTATTTTTCTTGCTTCAGGAGCATCCTCTGTCATGTTCACTAGTAAATGATCTGCCACGTTAGTGCTTACAGGCAGCTCTAGGAATGTAAAGATTTTCCATCTCATAGAGGGAGTAAAGGTGTGCCATGTGTGCATGATCACACTCTTTAAAAGAGCACATATGCACTCTTTGCTCTTTTGGTCCCAGCACAAGGCATCCAGAGATGTGCCTGTGGCTTTAATATTTTAATTCTCATTTGCTTTACTGGATTGCATTCTGATAAATACCTGAGTTGGCTGCTGTCTGACTTGAATTTTTTTATTATTAGTTCTTCAACTATATACTTGTATTTGGTTTTACTTCAATATTTTGAGAAGGAAAAGTGACAGCAAGAGACTTCTGAGCAGAGTGCTCAAGTACCACAGAGATGTCTTAAGCCTAAGTGGTAATGGACTGTGCTGGGGTAATTCCTCTGATCTTCAGACTTAGTGCAAATTGCCCTTCCTTCTCAGCTTCTCCCTTGCTTCCTAACATCCCCAACACACAAAATCCTACCATGGGGCTAGTGTGGAAAATACCCTGGAAATACCCTGAACAGATTCAGTATCGATGTATGAATCGAAAGAGAAGTTAAAGACAAGCTAATGTGGGTAGAGAGGAAGAGAAATGTTGCAACTAAATCCGAACATGAGGATTTCCCTAAACGGGCAGTGCTGGCAGCCAGGAGCAGCTGGAGGGGGCAGCAGTGGCACCATGAGTCTGTGAACAAAGCCTACACCGGTACAGAGCTGCTTCCCTGTGGAAAACATTTGACTGATGTATGCAGAGACTCCAGGTGACTCTTCACAGCACTGAAATCATTAATGAAACGTGTTGCAGTAACAGGACTGGCTAGGCATTTACCTACTTCTGCCTTATTATCCAAAGTGTATTCACAATCTGGTGTTCCAGGTGTGCTCCTGAATCTGTCTGCTGGTTGCTGTTGATGCAAATGTGCAAGGGACAGCACAGGCTATTTATCTGCCCAGGCTCTGTTCCTGGGAAGGTGTTGTCTGTGGCTGATGTCCCACAGTCTGCCCCATAGCAGGGCTGAGGTACACAACCTGTATGGTGCTCGCTCCATTCCAGGCTGTACCTTCGCAATGGCACTTGCTGTGCTTTGCCAAGAGCCTGTCCTGATCTTCAGGAAATGTTTTATCCAGTCTGTGTAAAGAGCAAACTGATGTGCTACTCCTAAAGCACAAGGGGCTGAAGGGTGAAATAAGTAGCACGTAACACCTCACAGGAAACCTGCTTTTGATACCTGTGGGTCTGAAAGGTGGCTGATAGAAAGCTTTTTAAGTAAGTTGTTTTCCAAGTCCCTTGAAATTAAGGAATGTGGCATTTGGCATTCATATAGGGTAAAACAATAGAAACTATTATTGTGTGGGACTGATGGATGTACAGATAGTGAGATACTGTGGCACGCATCCACACTGATCCTACAGGTGAAGTAATGCCTCATAATGGTGAAAGACTACTTTGACAGGGCCCCTACACTCTGGGCTTCTAGAAAGACTTCTGGGAGGATCTGTAAGGACAGAAAGTATTCACGTGACGAGAAGGAGGAGCCTCTGTGGGTTTAAATAACAATATAAAATGGGAGGAATAAAAAGAATCTCATAAGGATGTGGGCTGTGGAGCAGAAAAGAACATGAGCTAGGAAGCAGCAGCTGTAGCCTCATGCTGCTAAGTTTCTCTGGGTGGTAGGGGTGAGTGCTGGCCGCAAAGCATGTTGTAAGAGCTTCTGAGTGGGCAATAAAATCATGACATTCAGTTTTGGTAAATGTAAAATGTTGCACGAGGTGGTGGGGAAAGGATATTGTTACATCTGTCACAGAATGGTTCTGTAGTTAGATTTGGGAGGGACCCTGAAAGATCAATCTAGTCCAACCCCTGTGCAAGTCCAAACAGATTAGACCTACCTGAAGCCTGAAAGCCTCAGGCTTTCTGTGGGACTTGTGGTACTCTGCCAAAGAAGCCCTGTGCAAGTACAGTGAGATGAGCAGGAAAGCATATGCTCATGGTTCCTGGAATCTCAAGTGCTGGCTCCAGAGACTAACACTTGTAACTAGTGTAATTAATAAATCCTTGGTTAACTTTTCTATGCTATTCTCTGCAGCCTGTGTCTCTAGTGTTTAAAGATGCAGTGAGCTTCTGAGGTACTTACAAAACCATGATTGTACTGGATATTATTGCTACCCTTTGTGAGTAAAAGTATTGCTCAGCTATTTTTAACACTGATTTCGTTTCAAACAGGATTTCCCTACCGTTTCATCAAAAGATTTACATACGGGTTTCCCCAAAAGTGGAAAGAATACGTGGAGGAGTTTCTTGAGAAGAAAAGAAGGTATTTCTTTGGAGATTCTGTTTCATTGCAGTGTTCTTTTTAGTATTCATCGAGATCTTGCTTTTAAGTATACTATACTAGAGGAGTATAAAAGATTATAGATGTGGGCAGAAGACTATGTTCCAGGCACATACTTGTTGCTGCTTTGGAAAGATACCCTTTTACTTTTCAGATGTTACATTATTTCTTTCCTCCACCTCATTAGGAAAGAACGAGAACAAAATAGTGGTGAGAATGAAGATGAAGAAAGTGACTCAGTGGTAGGTGCTGATGCGCTGAAAACCAGAAAAGACTCAACAAGAAGTGTAAAGAAACCTGAAGCCAGGAACACCACCTATGAAGTATTACCGAAGAACAGTGAAAACACTTGTCAGTATTTAATAATCCTTTCTTTAAATAAAAAATTTGGGTGTTTTTGAGAGCTGTTGTCCCCATCAGAGGATTATCCTGTTAAACAGAGTAGTTGGGTGGAGTTTTTTATTTGTGTTTACTTAGACCACAATGATCAAAAGCACTGACTTGTTTTCTTACTTCTGGTATGCTGCTGTACACCAAGTATGTTGGGGCTGTCCTGAAGGTCGACCCTGGGAAAGGAGCAGCAACCTGGTTAGTCTGTAATAGCTGAAAGCAATGACTCCAGAGCCACTTATCCTGATAGCAAACTTGACTGAATCTTTTTTCCAGTTGCTATTTTGTATAATGTACTCTCTTCTTAGTCCCTGTGGGATTTAATACCTCTATCACAGCTCCATCCTTGGGACTTTTCCCTGCAGTGCCCACTCCCTTTTCAGCTGGGTTAATTTTAAATCATATCACATCCTTAAGTAGGTTCATTTGATGGCATCTTAATGTTTTTGCCAGAGTGGAGGCATAGGGAGTGCTAACAGTTGGGGATGGATGGAATGGATTGTGGAAGAATTCGTGGCATTGGCTTTGTTTCCAAGGGAAACAGGTATAAAGCCATAACCTATTGATTCTCCTGTTTTTTCATTTGCATTGTAATTCAATCCCAGCTTTTTCTGGACACAAATAGCTTTTGGGTTTAGCTTGCTTTTAATGTCTTGTCATAGGTTCCAACAAGGCTTTTTCCAAACTTCATGGTACTATTTGTTAATACTGTAATCAGGTTTTCTTGCTAACACTATAAAAGCATTTTTCTTACTTTTTTTTTCTGTCATTGCAGTTAGGATATGTTTGGTGTGCAACTTTTCTTTATCATTCTACTTCCCTATGTGGCTTCTAGAGTATTTATAATGTTCTAAACAAAATAAAAAGTTCACAAGAGTAAGTTCTATAATTTGCGAGGATTATGACTTCAATCATGTTAAGGAGTGCTCATTTCTAACCTGAGAACTTTTAAAAGGACAACAGAATGCTGTAGTAAGTTTTATATTTTATGTGTAGTCAGTGCAAATGAGCTGGTTTAAACACAACATTGCTCCTACACTTGTGAAGTTTGCAAAGCTGAGTTTTCAATACAATCTGGGGACAAAACTAGATTCCTTGTTTTTCCTTGCAGATACACCACCAAACCAGAATTCCATATTGAGTGACCGAGTGTACACTCGGAGTGGCCGTCTTGTTAAACCACCACTGAGTTTCTGGTGTGGGCAACGTGAGTTTGTTGATCAGGAACTAAATGTTACTGTAGAAGGAGGTGGAATCGATTATTTGAGCATGGTAAGAGTCTTTTGTATATTGTTTACTTAAATGTATCTTAAATATAATCAATATGCTTGGCTAGGTGTCTCACAGAAAGCGTCCAGCTCTTACAAGTACCTGAAGAGGCAGGAAATCTTGAACGCATTATAAACAGATTTTAAAACAAGAAATAGTCTTAATCTCTGTACTATCAGATAATTGTTGTCTGTAGAGTGGAGATCATTGGGAATTACTTCTGGGAAAAGTGTTCTTTTTTGAAAGATAAATATGTCAGAGAGGAAGCTGCAGACAGGGACTGGTTTGGGTCACCGGGGTTCCCAGGTAAAATGTTTCCAGTAGTACCATAACACGGAGTCCCTGCCACAGGGTTGTCAGTGTTTCCATGGTGCCCCCCTCCCCATGTGGGGTTCCACATCCGTTAGGACCAGATATTTCCTCAGTTCATTAATTGCCAACTCAAGCAGTTCTATGTCTTCAGATCTTAATTTGTGTTTTAGGATATTTAAAGGGATCCTGGCTAAGTTGCTTTGGTTGTATGCATTTGCAGAAGCACCTGTGTCCTTCACATGGCATTTAGTAGATAGTGATCAGTGAGGATGACTGTCGTGGTTTAAGCTTTTAGGTCTACCAATCCTTGTAAACATTTGGTGTTTTCAGAGTTAGTGTCAGTAGGCTTGTAATCTCTTGCAGAAGTTTAGATTAAGTTGTTTTATTTTGAAGATGTTCAGTAGTGAAAAATCCCAAAGGCAGACAAGCTCCATCTCAAAGAAGAAAAAAAGAAAGGAACTAACAGAGACCACAGAAGAAATACTGAAAAGACAAAGTAAAGGTAAAAAACGTTTTGTTTTGTTTTTTCTTTTAAAGTTATTGACTAGAATGAGTGGGATTACAAGTTGGGTGCTTCAGTGGTATGGTGATGTCCTGTTAATGCAAAGAAATTATTTAAGTCTTTAATGGTTGAATGCTTCTTCTATGAACAATTACCAAAGTAGCGTAAATGCCCAGTTTTACAGCTCCAAATATAAACCATGTTTGTAAATCTCTTTATTTACTAATGGGAACAAGCAGACTTCTTCCCAGAATCTGGAATGAAAGGATTATGAATGTTCTGCAGTTCCTGCTCCTGTAGTTTGAATCTCTCAGTGTGGCTGTTACATGTAGCTGGAGAGAACCTGAAGAGCAACAGAGTTTGCCAGTCCAGGGAACTGCTGCTCAGGCCTTGCTTTTTAAGTTGGATGAATTAAAATAAATGAAATGTCTATGTAGGCAAAAAAAGTGTATTAACAGAGCTTTAAAACCTTTACTTTTAATAGAATTTGGGAAGTAACAGAATCCTGAAAACGTTGTAAAATATGAAACAGAAGTTTCTCTCATAAAGCAACTGTCATGTTCCCTGCAGAAAAGCTCTGTCACATCATTTTCTGTTTCCTATTTTATTCTCTATCTGTTCAATAATTTAACATTCCCTTTTGAAGCCTTGATAATCCTAATCCTTTCAGTCATCTGGGGGCAATCTGTCATGGAAATGAACTGGGCAGGTACAGGATGTCTCCTGTTGGCGAGGAACCCTCCTGCTGCTGGCTGCTCTCCCTCTGAGCAGAGGGACGCTTTCCCAGTGCAAATCCAATGCTTATAACCAGTTTTCTGTGATGTGCTCTTTGTAAGAGTTGTGTAAATGGATTTTCACTTCTTGACTGCCACGCAGAGGACTGGCCTGCCTGCCAGGACATGCTGTCATGTCTGTATTGTGTACCCTCTTGTTCCTGAAAAATTGAATCCCAAATACATTGGAGTGTATGTGCGACGGCAGAGACCTCTACTCAATCCTTCCAAGATGTGTGTATGGGAAAAGAAGTGTGGTGATCTTGGGAAGCTTCGCTAGGTGCTGGTTTTACTCAGTCATGTTTGATAAAGTTAGGGACTACAGCCTGTATAACAGAAAGGAGTTGGCAGATCTTAATGTGTGGGCTGCACGGTATCCTGCAGCAGGCTAGTCTTTGGCCTGAGAACACAGTAATGGTTTATGTTACAGTATGTGTGGTGTTATACTGACATCATCTCTTGCAGGGAAAAACAGTGAGAAAGGGGTAAGTTCCAAAAGAGAAGCCAAGTCCACTGGGAGCAATAAGGCCAGACACTTTGTTTCAGATGATGATGCAAGTGATTATGCAGTCAACAGTGCAAAAACTAAATGTCAGCTTTCTGTTAAGCTGACTTCCTTAAATACTGAAGCACCAAACAAACATACTAGCAGAACCCCAGGAACATCAAAGGAAAAGAGAGAAGCAGAACATGGAGAATTGACTAGGTACCAGCAGGCTTATAAGTACTCTTTAAGGTCAGCGAAACAACTTCGTCAAGATAAGCACTTAACAGAAGAACCATCAAGCAAAGATGAGGAAGAGGAATCCAGTGAAGATATCCCGCTGTCAATCAAAAGGAAAACTAAGCCTTTGTTGAAACCAGAGATTCACAACTCTAAACCTTCCTCTAACTGTAGAAGGTCACAGGATGATGCAAACAGGGTGTCCTGTGAGCAAAGGACAATGAAACACACGACTGCCACCTATAATGTGCTGTCGAAACAAAGTGTACCCAAATCCAAGGACAGTTCTGATTTACTTGAAAGAGAAGCACCTTCTACTAGGTCTAGAAATTCCTACCTGCCTGATAAGGCAGTGAGGACAAGAAACAGAATCAACCTGCCAAGGTTGATTGAATCTGACACTGAGTCTGAAAGCAGTGAAGAGGAATTTCATGTAAAAGAAAAGGAGTTAAAACTGTCTGATAGAAAAACAAACTATGAAGTTCCTAATACTGCCAAGCCTTCAGCAGCAAAATCAAGAGAATCTGAGAGGGAAAAGGTACAGAAAACTCTACAGCTTTTTCCAAAGGCAGTTGATGTTTGGTCTGAAAAGGAATTACAGAAGCTCTACAGGCAAGTTGTTGCACTGTCCTCACAGGGCAAAGGTTCTCTTGGGCATCGGGAGGTATATGCCAGGGGGGTTGAGTGATCTGCATTTGGGTTTTTCATATTCAGTCTCTTGCACCTTATTTTAAAGGTTTTCTTTATGTTTTAATTCCCTCTTAAAAATAATTAAAAAAAAAAAGTAGTGAAATAGGCCAGGTTGGACAGGGCTTTGAGCAACCTGGTCTAGTGGACAGTGTCCCTGCCCTGTGGCATGAGCACTGGCACTAGATAAGCTTTAAAGTTCCTTCCAAACCAAACCATTCTGTGATAACTGAGTGTTTTCTGAAACAACTGTAGATGTGTGAGCCTAAAGCAGCTCCTTACACAGTCATCATTGTAAAGTGAGAGGAACGCAGATCTGCGTGTTTATGCATTTAAGCTTTGTAAAGGAGAGATTAGCTACAAGAATGTTTAATTAAAGCATCATCCAATTACTTAAACTCTTGGGCAGTATTTAATGCATACAACAAGTAGTAAAATGACGAGGTTTGGGTTTGTTTCTTTTAGATTAAAAACTTGAAAAGGCATGGGCTCCTGTCATGGGGGTGGGTGGGGCTGCAAATAAGGGAGAATAAGAGGTAATGGAGCAGTTACCTTAAATGGTCCCAATAAATCTGCATGTTTTATTAAACCATCTGGAGAAGAAACCAGAGACATAAGTGTCCTTTCCAGGGAGGACAGCTGGTCTCCAGGTGTTTTCCCTGGCAGTGCTGCACAGGTCCTGCGGTATGCCAAAGGCTGTGGCTGTGTTCTCTTGGCAGGGCTGTTGCATCATTTCCAAAGCACAGGAATGGCTTCTGGGTGGAGGTTGCCATGGCTGTGGGGTCTCGCTCTGCTGAAGAGTGCCAGAAGAAATATGCAGAGCAACATACAACAAGTTCCAAACCAAATGCCAGGAAGGCCACGGCTTCACGAAAAACAGAACAGAAAGGTACTGACCTCCAGTTTCTGGTATTTTATCATTTTTAAATAATTTAAAATTCAGGATTTACTACAGAATGAGAGATAAAGACATAAACGCATATCAGGGTCCGACAGTCAAGACTGTTATCTTCTGCAGCGTAAAGCTTTGCTGCAGAGCTTGGAGGACAGCATAAATGACTGTGAAGTAACAAGAAGATAAAGGATATTCTTACAGTTTTTTTAATTTTTTGCATGATGGGAAGTTTTAAACTGGCCTTTGCACCTATGGGAAAACAGCTATTAGTATCTTAAGAGGCTCTTGCAGGCCTAGTAGATAACGAGCTACTTGTAGAGCTGTCTCTCCAGAAAAGATATGGGGCACTTGGATGCACTAAGGGCAACATGGGGTAAGAACAGCGAAGTTACGTGCTGGGGTGTCTGGCACTGACATGCCTGTTGCTGTTTTGTGTCCAGTTCTGAAGTTAGTAGTTCATGTTTGCACAGAGCAAGTACGCTCTGAAGTGAAAGGCGTAAGATCTTCAATCCAGTTCTTTAATGCAGGGAAGTTTACGATGACTTGGTAAGTGCCTAGGTAAGGAAAGCTGTTTGATAGCCGCTCCTCTCACTGACAGGATGTGAGTGTGTACGCTGAAGCCTGAGATGATCGTTCCATAAGCCTCGTGCTGAGGACACTAAATTGATCTCTGTTCAGCAGAGCTTTTGAGCACTTTATGCCTCTTAGCACAGGTGGCAAACCTTAGAGTCTTCTCTCTGAAATGCAGATGCATGGATAGTTCTGTTAAAATCATAACAAAATAGTTGAGGTATGGCTCTTGCAACAGTTATGTAAGGCTCAGGATTAAGCTTCCACTTAAGACGGAGTAGAGAAATTCTTTTTGAAAGCATAAATCATTTAAGATCTCAAAGGATCACAAAGAAGCTGAGTCATTGGCACAAAAAACAGACTGGACTCTTTAGCACTGATTGTATTTAGCGAATCTGAAAGTGATGTCTTTAAAACAATTAATATCTTGATTTGTGTAGGTAAGAAAGAGCCGGTTACAATAACTGCCAAAGTGGGAACCTTGAAAAGAAAGCAGCAGATGAGAGATTTCCTGGAGCAAATGCCGAAGGACAACCACGATGATGTTTTCACTGCGACACCCTTTCAGAATAGAAGAGTAAAGGTAAATCTGGGAAAACAGTGTATATATGAGTGTGCTTGTCTGGTTGGTATTTCAAGGGCACGTTAAAAGTCTGCTGGTTCAGGTCCATCAATAAAATCTTGTGAATTTTGGGAAAGAAGCTTATTTCCTTGGTTTGCTATTGTAATACTTGAATTTTGCTGGCAGTGGGAATGTGTGGCTCCTGCAGACAAGCACTGCTGCTGAATGGATGTTTAACACATCTGTGGTGGGGGCACCCCTTCTGCTTCTGTGTGGGAGGAACTTGTGCTGCTGGGAAGTGTTGGCTGTTCAGTGATACCGCTGTCCTGGGGACAGCCGGTGGATCCTTGTGTTGCAGAACCAGGGATTTTATAAAGTCAGGCTGATACTCAGCCTGAAGTAAGACAAGATCTTTCTTCATCTTCTCAGCACATCTTGCATTCAAAACCTCTTGATGCTGCCTGGGGGTGGGTTTCTCTGTGGGAGTTCTGTTATCCTCTTGTCCTGATCCTTGCCTGTTGTTCACTTCTCCTCTCCTGTTTGGGCTGAAGAGCTGCCCCGTCTCCTTGGTTAGGTTCAGTTTTAGCATCCAGTGCAGGCTGGGTGTGCTCCCACCCTCTTCACGAGCAGCCCCCAAATGCACCCAGTACCCCGTGCCGCAGCTGGCAAGTACTACCGTGTCTTTGTGATAAACCTCCACTTCACTGTAGTGAAGTGTAAGTATGTACTCTGAGTCATAGAATAGAATCATAGAATCAACTAGGCTGGAAAAGACCTTTAAGATCATCAAGTCCAACCATTACCCCAAGACTGCCAAGGCCACCACTAAACCATATCGCTGAGGGCCTTATCTACATGGTTTTCAAACACTTCCAGGGATGGTGATTCCACCACCACCCTGGGCAGCCTGTTCCAATGGCTGAGCACCCTTTTGGTGAGGAAATGTTTCCTAATATCCAGCCTAAACCTCCCCTCACTCAGCTTGAAGCCATTACCTCTTGTCCTATTGCTTGTTAATTGGGAGAAGAGACCAACCCCCACCTCACTCCTTTCGGGTAGTTGTATAGAGCGATAAGGTTCCCCCTGAGCCTCTTCTTCTCCAGACTAAACAACACCAGTTCCCTCAGCCATTCCTCATGAGACTTGTACTCTAGGCCCTTTACCAGCTTTGTTTCCCATCTCTTTGTCAGTTAAGCCTGTTCTCATTTGTAAAGAGAAAGCCACTTAATTAGCAAGAGAGTTATTTGGTCTTTTCCCTGTAGAGAATTCTTTAAGTATAGTTTATGATGCCTCTTTGCTATTCTCTGCCCAAGCTAGCTCTGCCTATTAAAGCTAGTGCCTCAGCTCCAGAGGGACCCAATGACACCTCTCTGTCTCCTGATACAGATGTTTGTTGGTGGGTTTTCTTCTTAGTAGCAGTGCATTTCTTATTCTGGAACACATCGTAAGAGGAGTAACACTAATGGGGAAGTTAGAATTTAAGCAGTTGTAACTGCATTGCTTTCCATAAGCAGCAGAATGCTGTGGAGAAATCCCCATGATGAGTATGAGTGGGCTGGCCTTGAAAAAATCGAGGCATCCTTGTGTAAGACATCCTGGTTCTGCAGAGGGATTCTCCAGGAGACTCCTCCTCTGGTAGAACACAATTTCAGCCAGTTGTTCAAAAGAGTTCCCTTTTTTTTTTTTTTTCTCTTTCCCCTCAAAATTCATTTTGCCTGGCTTGTGCCATGTGTGAATTTAGTTGTGCGGGTGGATTCCTCTTCCATGCATGAGACCAGCCCCTCCTCAATCCTGTACAGCCTCTTTGGACTTGCAGTTTCTGGTGCTAAGTTCCAGAACTGAACTGTTCGGTGTATGAAGAAGCATCACCTTTTATTTGTTCTGAACTGACTTTGTCCTCCTTATGCGGAAGAGACAGCAGACTGCTGTGCTTTTTATCATTGTGCCTATTTCTCTCTGAGCCTTTCCAGTTCTCTCTCTTCAAAATGCAAGTAGTTCACTGAGTAATCCTGAAATCCTCCCAAATAGTAATGGTCAGATTTGAGCTTGTAATTTTAATCAAAAATTATTTTTGAATATGTAGTCACAGCCTAAAAGGCCAGGAAAATGTTGGGCATCAATGAGAGGAGTATTAACCGCAGGATGGAGGTATCATCTGGCCACTCTGCCGAGTCCTTGTATACCTGTGTTCTGTGTGCTGTGCACATTGCTGGTTTCTGCATCTCCAGATGTCAAAAAAGCAGCTGAAGCAAGGGAACAGAGCAACTGCCTTTTGAGGAGAGAATAGAGAGTCTGTGGCTGTGTGTGGGGAAGAGGGACACCGCCACAGTCCAGAGTGTTGTGCAGGGCCTGTGGCCTATGGCTGCTCTGAGGCAGACCTGTGAGGAGCTTTTTCAGCAGACTTCTGTTACAAAGGGCAAGTCATTGATTGCTCTGCTGTGACTTTGTAGTTGCCAACTTTCCGGGGAAGACAAGATGATGATGATGATGATGATGATGCTTTTGCACTTACGGACAACCCAATCACACCTTCCTCAGCTGTCTTTCCTCTGGTGAAAACCCCTCAGTGTGAGCATATCAGCCCTGGTATGCTGGTACCCATCAACAGGTAGGAGCTCCTACAGCTCTCTGTCCTTCTGCTAACCTCTTCCTTTCTTATTTTTCCCAAGCTTGTTTTTTGTCACCTGAGAAGGATCACTCTTGGAACTGGGACACCAGTTCACTTCCAGAGCTGGAGCATGCATAGTAAATCCTGTGGTCCTTGAGGGATTTGTTTAGTGGAAGCCCTTTCCTTTGATAGTATGTGTCCTTTCAGCTACTCAACTAAGCATGGGCAGCAAAACCCAGGTCAATGATGTGCCCTTTTCCTCTTGGAGAAGGCAAGGACTTTGGCTTCAGCCTCAGCAGAGGTTTCTCTGCTCATTTTGAGTCTGAACCTGTTAACCCAAGTGCTTCAGGCTTTTCTGAAACAAACTGAATCATCTTGAAACTTGCTGTGTGAGTAAGTGGTGTTTTTATCTAATGGACAAGAAATGAACCTCATGTGGGGAGGTGGTGAAGCTTCCCTTCATACTTGCATTTAGAGTTCTAGCACGTGATCTAATCCAATGCTTCTGTGCTGTTACACTCCCAGAGCTGCTGTGGTGTTCAGTTGATCAAATAACTGTTTTTAATGGTGGTGCTGAATTAGTTGTATGCATAACACCTTTAACTGTGTCCAGTGGATTCTGCAGTCAGCACGCTGGTGACACTAAGTTGCTCAATTACACCTGCAGGAATGATTACGACAAGTACGTGTTCAGAATGCAGAAGAACACACAGGGCAGCAGAGGCACCTGGGACAACATCAAGAAGAAGGTGGTAATGCTGGTTTCCTTGAATGCCATCTAGTTTTACCCTAACAATGCAAGGTTTAGCTAAGCAATAGGCAGGAGAATCCTAGGACCAGAGACTAGTGTGTATATTCAAGATGGAAAACAGGAAACTTCCCCTGCTTCCTCCCAAACTGCTGGGTTTTGTATCTGCTTTTCTTGGAGAAAAGTTCTTTTTGTTAGAAAAAAGCTATTTATTGTCAGGATTAAAAATGGATTTTCAGGATTTGTAATGGTGAACTTCAGGTACATATGAAGTTCCTGTTAGATTCTTCTGTACTGTAGGGAAGGGAACAATAATTTTCACTTTGTATCAGTCCCTCAATTTACATATTTACTCCTTCAGTATCCTAGATTTTGTAGTTTCTGACTTTTCCATGAAAAGCTGAGGTCCCAGAAGCCAAAAAATGGCTTTAGTTCATTGACAGCATTTGTGGCAGTTGAACTGTTCAAACCTTTAGTGGAAATGTAGCACAGCAAGAGGGCAACTGACTTCCAGTGCAGTTCGGAGCCTGTGCCAGCCTGTGGGGCTGTGTGGCGTGTCCCGTGCTGCAATGTGATCTGACTGGGGTCTTTCTGTCCTCTCAGGCTGGAGGTGTGCTCGGTACGCCAGCATCCCGCAGGACCTTCCCATTCCATAGAAGTAAGTACCTGCCATCGTTTCAGGCTCCTTCACTTACCTTTTACATTGCCACTGGCTTGTTGGGTCTCCCCAGTCCGTGTGTGTAATAATTTTTCTGCAGTCTGTTTCTCATATGCACCTTTGCTTTTTGGACCTTCTATAACTGTTTATCAAGCTCGGGCACACACACTAATAAACCTGTTTTACTTGCAGAAGTGACACAGCCCTCTGTGAAAGGGAAGCTCTTCGTGGCAGAGGCAGCAGACTCATCAGATGAAGAACAGAACGATTCCTCTTTTTCTTTTTGATGAACTTTGTGGAATTCAGTAGCTCTACACTTCATGTGCCTCTTGTATGCAGCAAAGGGGTTTGGCCACCCCTCTGCAGTAGCATTCCTGTGAAGTTGGCCTGCAGTGGTTTTATGTGTTTTTAGCACCAGGCTTGCCTTGCTGCCTCTCTGGCACCATGTGTCATTTCCCAGGGGTACATAGTGCCACTTCTTTTCCCAGGCTCCTCCTTGCTGTTGTCCTGTTCCTCCTGGGGGAGGGAGAAATGTACACGGATACCAATTTCTGGCAAGTTTTGATTAGTTTTAAAATAAAATATCTTACTGAAATACAGCTGTACAATAAATGTATATGGGTAACCAATTGGAACTGCTTTTTAATTTCCTCTGCTGAGAGTCTGAATTTTTACATTTCCTTAATGTAATAAAAAAGGACAAGCTGACCGGTCTCGAGGGAGGTGTGTTGCCTGCCAGGGGCTCGGGTCAGAGGTGTTGCAGAAAGGCTGCCTGGCCTGGTAAGTCCCACTGACTATTACCCCCTTCTAGTGTTCCATGTGGGGGCTACTGATATAGGTAGCAGTAGCTTGGAGATCATGAAGAAGGACTACAGAGCCCTGGGAGAGGTGGTTAGGGGCTCTGGAGCTCAGACAGTTTTTCATCGATTCTCCAGGATAAAGGGGAGGACCTTAAAGCTGGATGTATTTGGCAGATTAATAAATGGTTAGAACAGTGGTGCCATAGTCAGGGGTTTGGGTATTTAGAACATGGGACTCGATTTGGGAGGCCAGGTCTACTGGAGGCTGGTGGAGCTGGTCTAACAGAAAAACGGGAAGAGCTGTTTTGGTAGGAGACTTG